ACGTATAAATGCATATGTGTATATATATATAGAATATATATATATATATGTAATGTAATGTAATGTAATGTAATGGAATGGAATGGAATGGAATGGAATGTAATGTAATGTAAGTATATAGATGCATGTGCATATGTATATATATATTATATAAGGTGTGTATATATATATATATATCATGTATATACATGTAATATATATATATATACAAGGACAATATATTCATCTTCGCAGAGCTGCATGCAAAGCCATGACAGCCTGGAAGGACTTGCTCGCGGAGAAGTTTGGTGACGACATTCTGGTGGACGCCAGCAGGTTGGAGGTGCGGTATTTTTTCCCCACTGTCGATTCGCAGGGATTTGCTGTGAAGGATCAATTAATAGCCATTCCATGTTACAATTATAGTTATTCCATCTAATTACTACATTACTAATTATATGAATCATCATTGTACGGTGACTACTTAGCTACTAACATCGTAATTTCTTGATGGTTGATCACTACATTTCCACTAGTTTCTACCTCAACTAAGTGACTATCAATAGTAACTAACCAGTTAACTAGTTATAACTAATTTAGTTACTACCTCATTGCATACCTTATCTTACTAACTATATGCGTGACTATATCTTTAGTTATTAATGAACTTAATTAATTGACATCGACGGTGAGGCAGGTGCCATTCGTCGCGCCAGCAAGAGCGGCATCGAGACCATCACCCAGGAGTTGATCCCGGATGACCGCGAGACGGTGCCGGTCTTGGAAGGTGAAAGATGGGCCAAAATATGGGGTTAAACATGATAAATGATTTTAAATGTATAGTATATATGTATATGTATATGTATATGTAGATGTAGATGTATATATATATATATTATGTATCTCTTTGGGGTTATACATATGTTGTAATATGTTTGAAACATCTTGGGGACATGAGCTGGGATTTTCTCATAGTTGAAATGGGAAATCCGTTCTTAAATAGTAGAAAGGGATGACAGAGGGTTTTGACTACTGCTCAGATGTCAGGTAATTTGTTGCAATGAGCTGTGGAAGATCCATGGTTTCCCTCTTGGAAACGATCTACATTCATGGTGGCTGTTTTCCACATCTGCTATGTGTTAGTTTAGAGGAGGATACCCTCTGGTAATTTGTTACAGTTTGCGGTGGAACAAACCACCATTCTCAAGTTTGGTAAAATATCCATATTGAGCTGTTTTGAATAGCCGCTGGTATGTTAGGTTGCCAGAGGGTAGCCTGACTGGATGAAAAGTGATATCAATGGATGGCTATATTTTGTTAATTTGTTTTTCATCTACGCAACCGGTTCTTGTATGGCAGATATGCATAGATATGCTGCGTTTTGGATGGGATTTATTCATAGTTTATTTCTAGAGAAAACACATGGCCTCCAGGGGAGGATTAAGAAGATTCCTCAATTACTGCAGTTATGAGACAGCGAGGGTGTTTGTTCGTGCTTCTGCCTAAAGTTGCGTCAAGTGTGTGTGTCCATGGCAGCATTCTTGCTAGCGTTTTTCTGCTTCCGGTATTTTTCGTTTGTCAGAGCTTCCGCACCATGCTCATTGCTTGATCCGTGTAGACCCTTGCTGGAAACAGAAAACCCTAGGTTTGATGGTTTAAGTATGTTCAACTTCCCATTTTTTGGTGTTTTCCGTCAGTCAAACCTTTCCATGTTTATCTCAGGTGCAGATTGAGGTGAACGAACTCTTCGGCGACAAGCTGGGGGTCCGGCTGCGCATGGAGGGTCTGGTGGTCAGCAACTTTGACGTGCCTGAGGCGGGAATACCTCCATGAGTTCCATGGATTATCATCATTCTCCCCTTATGCTTTGAATGGCAATTCGGTGATAGGAGGTTAGCCATATTTTTGCAGGGTTCTCCCAAGAAGCGACCCATTTTTTTTTTGCAATTTGCTTCCTTTGTATCATACCCCCTTCTCAAATTGGCTCGAGGCAGCAGATGTCGGCTGGCGCTTTGGGGATGAGATCGTTGCTGTGAATGGAAAAACAGTCGCTTCCCGGGAGGACGGAGATGCTAAGCTGGAACAATGAAGTTTATTGTTGTCCTTGTTGGCCAAGCCAGAACATTTGGAGCCAGTGGGCGCTTCCACTTGAAACCACTTGAAGGACTTCCGAAAGGAGCTTGCAGAAGCACGAGCACTTCTGCCCATACTTTTCACTGTGAGACTTGGAACACTGACCAGCGGTCCTCACTTTGGGGTTGCTCAAGCATAGTATCAAGGGACGTCAACAGTGTGAGTTGCAACGTGTCTTGTTCGATTTTGACGGACGACATGTCTCTTTCTTTCACTACAGACTATTTTAGATCAAGCACACTACGCGAATATACTTGCCATCAAAGTGATCATACAGCGGCTGTTAGAGTATCACATGCCTTCCGAGGAAGCGCCCGCGACGTTCTTGTATCGACATTGGACGGAAAACCATCAGCAACTCGAGAGACGCCTGTGGCCTAGACACTGAGGTGTTTACTGAACCCGGTCTTTTGCGGTATTGCGCCATGTTGCATCAGTTGCATAATGTTGTGACCATCTGGTTATTTATCATAGCCATGGAAAATCACAATTTTTAATAGGTAAACCATCTATAAATGGGCCATTTCCCATGGCTATGTTAAATAACCAGAGGGTACTCATTCAAAACTGATTCAGCGGATCAGTAGTGCAGCTAGACGTCATTTGTGTGGTTGGAATCTCTGCTCGGCCCAAAAAGGTTGGACAAGAAAAAGAAAAGCACCTTGGCTCACTTGATTTGTATAGCACGGGATGTTGTAAATACGCTTTCTCAATTTTTCTTATGGATATGGGATGACAAGTAAAGTTTGAGAAAGGCGAGCAGATGCCAAGAGTGAAGCTTCATTTGTTAATACAATATTTCATTTATATATATATTCCTTTCCCCTTCATTCTTTAAATAACCCCTTAGAAATTCGTATCTATTCATTTCGGGTCCCTAATTGGGGGGCACTTGGTCTTCGGCCCCGTCCAGTCTCCTTTGGCAGTTGCCCTTAAGTTGCCCTTAAGGCGACGGAAGGGGCGTGCCAGCAGTACGAGCGTACCGTACAGAGAACCTAGAGAGAGAATTATGGATACCGAATAGTAGCAACAAATAAGACATATACATATTGATTATAATAATAATATATATATATTATAATTAAATCTAATTTGTTATTTATATATATATATATTGTTTATTTCTATATGTAGCATATGGTTTGGGTATATATATATAATTATATATAAATATTTAATATTTATCCCATCCTATTTATTTTTAATATTGTAAGGGTTTTTCGAATATTATGATAATTTGGACCATTTTTTTTTTGCCTTTCTTTCGT